TGCTGGTGCTGGCGGTGCTGCTGCCGCCTCGTGCTGCTGCTGGTGGCGGTGGTGGTGGTGGTGGTGCTGCTGCTGCTGCTGTTGTTGCTGCTGCTGCTGCTGCGGCTGCTGCTGCTGCTGCTGCTGCTTCTGCTGCTGCTGTTCTTGCTGTTGTGGTCCAAGTTGTGGTTGTTGTCAAAGGAGCAGTGCTACGCTACTGACAAAATCCCAGTATGCTCCCACCAATACCGACGATGCGTTGTCACACTCTCTTAGACGGTTGCCGAAGACATTATGTCGATGCGCATTCGTGCTACTGAGGCGAATAGGCTGTTGATTGATCATTGTATTCTGTGCCTCGACCATGACTGTTGATCCGACCCTACTTTATGTGACGTACTCCTTGTTTACATCCTCGTTGCTGCGTCTGCTTGTGCCATGATTCAGGATTATCGGATTGGCCTAAGCCTAGGCATTGGTTTTTTCATCAACACAAAGCCACACGTGTGACGACCCGGCTGCGCGTCGCATCATGGCATAAGAAGAATCAGAATTTGGCTTAAGAAGTACGGAAACCAAGTTAGTGGCTGTGGCACCTGAAATCGAAGCGGATCACACCCGCAAGCGAGCAAGAAACCACCGGGCACACGGCAGAAGTTGCCCAGAAGCATCACGGTGCAAATCTCCGACCTCATGTCGCCCGAATACTCTCCACAGCATGCCGTCTTCCCAGACACCTCGAACTCACTGAAAGGTTAAGGAATGAGAACCAACGACCCTGCCACAGGACCCCTTGGCCACGTTTCATACAGTTTGCAGGTTCGGCAGAGGTCGTGGGAGCCGGCCTTGAGCCTCCGCCGGCTGTCCGCGGCCGGCCACAGGAAGAAATTCAGCAAAAGCGGATTCAATAATGATAAGGCACACTGTGCGAGTGAAATACTTAGTCCGCCTATGTCTGCATTCTGAGACTCAGCCTGAGCTTGCGGCCAGTGTCACTAGCTGTCCGACTCGCAGAGCCTCTTCCTATAGACTCGGAACAGCTGCGGGAAGATGTCCAAGAAACTGCGCGCAGCCTGCCTGAAAAACCAGATGATCGTCCTCATTGTCAGTGCCTGCAACCAGTCTTCATACAGGAAATCTGTAGACGGTCCGCAAAAGTCCGGCTCATAGTATCGCAACTTCTAGTCATGCCGGCGCCATGTTCCGACCAATTTCAAAGGCACTTCGCGTATGTGCAGAAAGTCTGCCTGTAGCCTAGTCGCATCACACGGAAGACACAAGAGTACTATCTTGATGACATGCAGCGCATGCAGCCTGTCTCGTAGATCAGGCCTGCCCCTTCTGCTTGAACAAGTTCTCGCCACTTGGCCGGAACCTCGAACGCTGACGCTGAAAGATGGAAAGATGTCGAAAGAGCCACCGTAAAACATCCTCTGATGACTCTTCTAATGACTTGCAAAGATCTGAGTTGCCCAGCTCGTCTTCGCGCGCTTAGTCTCTCGTTCACTGGCTCTTGGGGAACCGACTGTGACAAGGAAACGAGTTCCTTGATACGACCCAGCATGCCGCTTCACCAGCAGACTCGTTGGACATCCGAGGGCCGAGAAACAATCTGGGTCTGGAGGGAGATGCAGGGCACCGAGGCCCTGACATCCCTCAGCGATCGCATCTCCTTCGTGGAAGAGAAGCACCTCCAGGTGTGAAAGGCTCTAGACTTCTGCATTGTCCAACCCGAGCCCGAGCCCGGCACATGCGCACTTCCTTCCCATGGACCGTGAGCTGAAGATCCGGAGCCCCCTCCAACGTGGCTACAAAGTCCACCTGGCAAGCATCTTGCAGACCCATAGTCGATGCTGCTTGCGTGCTCTGCGGCGGCCACGCGAGCTTGTTCCAACCATGTAGACTCCCAAGACTGGAGAAAGTGCAGCCGGCAGCGCACAACCAGAGCGTTCTGCGATGACTTTCGCCTCGGGAGGGGACTGCAGAAATCTCACACGCGACTGCTTGCCTGTAGAGTCTATTCGATACGAGGAGAACAAGTGTCCATGCTGTTCGCCTCTTGTCCCGGTGCGTTCTGCTCCACCTTTGTCTTGTGGACCACGCAAACCTTCGAATTGCTGCGAGCAAAGGCACATCGCATTGTTGCCTTTTTTCCTGTCTTCGGGCTGGCTGTAACCTGCCGGCAACCAATTCGGAGCGGCCTCTTCGCACATGGGCGCTGCAAGCGCCAGCTGCTCGTCAAGCGGCCCATAGATGCCTGAGAGTAAAGAAGGGGCGGACTTCTGCTGGTGGGTTTAAGACCAACTTCGCCTGAAAGATTAGAGGATTATAGGCTTTGCCTTTAGAAGGCAGTCTTTTGTCTTCAGTACCAGCATGACCAAGTTCGAGGCAAGTGCATAGCTAAACGACTTTGATTTTTCCAGTGCCCAGTCCCACCACGAGCTGGCGCTGCCACAGACCCTTGAGTATCCCAGCGTGCGCGGAATCGAAGAGGTTGCCCAACACTTTTCGGCTTTGACAAGGCACCTGAGCTTCAAAGTTTGCTGCCAGTCTCCCCAATTGGCAGTAGCAGTGCGATCTTATTCCTGCTTCACACTGAGATCCTCGCAATCATAACTGCCTCGAAACGATGGCAAGAGCTGCTCAACCTTGCCACAGTGACAGGCTGCTCTCGATGGCCCCGCCCTGGCCGATGTCGGACCTCCTCTGCTGACACCATACGGATGGCCTGCTCCACCGACTCCTCCTGCAATGCGCTTTGCTGTGGGAGTTTCTTCACCGGCGATGGTGAAGAATGATGCTGATGATGACGACGACGATGACGACGATGCGGATGGTGATGATGACGGTGGTGGTGCCGTTTATGCTGCTAACGGTGATGTCAATGGTGCTGGTAACATAGACACGACGTTACTCCACTGTGGCATTTCCGCCAGCTGGGCTGCCATATGACAACGAGCTTCACAACATCAGGGACAGGAAACATCAAAAACAACTGAGCGAAAGCAATGCCGGTAAGTAGAGCGGCGGCGAGAGTAGGAGGATGAGTAGTACCTTGCCAGTAGCCGCAGCTCAGCGACGGCATCCCTCACCACTACTACCACTACCACTACCACTACCACTACCACTACCACTACCACTACCACTACCACTACCACTACCACTACCACTACCACTACTACTACTACTACTACTACCACCACGACGACTACTACNNTACTACCACTACCACTACTACTTCCATTAGCATTGCTTCTACCACTACGACAACGATTACCACTACGACGACGATGACGTACTACGACCCCTCCGCGTAACGTCGTATAGTAGTGCATATAGCGCTAGTAGCCGCAGCACCAGCAGCAAGCAGAATTACGAAATGCTGGCAAATCTTGTGATCACAACCGTGACTATGACTATGGTGCTGATTGGTAGCCCTGGCACCTGGCACCCTCACTTTTGACATGGCCACTCGTCGTGTGACTGTGACTTCCGCGCGGGGCTGGCGTGCCTCTTCTTCCAGC